TTTAGATTAATATAAACACGTACTAAGGTATATTTCTGTTACTAATTTTATTAGACTTAAGGTTTGATCAACATTTTTTTGTGAGGCGTGTTTTACCTATAATTTAACGTTTAACTTGATTACGGTCATTACAGGGCCATTAGAAAATCAGTATGAAAATCAGAAAACGACAAAAAGCAGCAAAATAAGTATTAATGAAGTCATAAAAGGGTCGGTCGAGGCTAGTATTTTTGAAGGATAAACTTACTCAACGACCCTTCTGAAAACGGTCTGAAAAAAGTTGGTCGTCACCGAGGACGTCGATGAATTAACAGAAATTGACAACTGGAAGGCCGAATTTTCTGAGCAGCATTTTTCCCAGATTGAAATTTTCATAGTTTTTTAGTAACTTTAACGATATTTAAAGTGATAAAACCATAGCAACATCGTTGTTTTAATTTAATTTCTTAGCTTTTTAATTCAAAGTTTGGTCCACAACGTCTATTTCTTGTCGAAAAATCTTTTATTTTGTATTTTTAATACAAACTTTTTAATGCTTTACGATTTATTTTAGAATAACTGGATGTAAAAGTAAAATTGATTGATCCTGCCTCTGATAATGATCAAGAACAGCGAGCTTGTAATTTTTTAGAGAACCAAATGAAGGATGATTGAGATTGCGGTGGCAGCCGGAAAGCCAAGAATCAATTTCAGTAAAACATTATTTTTTACAGGTAAACGCCGGCCACTATATCCGAATGACATTTTGGCTCATTTCCACACGGAAAACGCGGTGGATCGGCTGAGGGATATATGATGGACCCGACTCGTCGTATACGGTATTGGCTGAGTGGGTCCTAATCAACGTGCTAATTAAGTTGAACATTTGTATGTTTCTCGTTCTAAATTGGTAGAGTCGGATTTATTTTTACCATTGGCATATCGCTTTTCTTCAGAACGATCTTCGCCGATTTTGCTGTTTCATTTGTTTCTAATAATCTCTGCTAGCCTGCCGGCTTTTTCTCGTTCTTTTAAATTTCCTGAAAAGCGCTGCTGCCTGCCTGCGCGCGCCTTCCATTTGGCTCCTAAATGGTCTCTGCTAGCCTCACCTCCTCGGTGAATTTCCTGAAAGTTTCTGCTAGCTTGCCTCGAGCAGTTTTCCACAAAGGATCTCTGCCGCCTTGCCTTTACACCAGACACTTTATCAAAGAATCACTACTAGCTTGCCTTATCCCCTCTGGGCCTTCCTCAAAGCTCTTTGCTAGCTCGCCACGCTCAGATTTTTTAAAATTCACGAATAAACGTTGCTAGCTTGTCCTTTATATCTCCTAAATGATATCTGCTAGCTCCCCTCCAGCGCAAATTTCCTTAAAAATCTCTGCTAGCTTGCCTTTCCATATTCGTAAAGATTTCGTCGATAAAACTTTTCTAAAAAATCTCTGCTAGCCTGCCTTGCCCATTTTAACCCAGAAAATTTAAACCGAAAAGTTTTTAGTCTGAGCGGCTCAAAAACGGTACGGTAATCACCTCATCCGGCCCGAGTATTTACATGGATTTCGAGACGGACATCATCAACGTCGATCGCGGATTCTTGGGAAGATACGAGACTTTGAGGGTACGTTGCAAACACAATTTAGGAATTTATTTAAATCCTGAAAGATCGATTTGAAAATTTGATTTTTTCACGGAATAACGAATGCGTTTCTCGCAAGAATTAATCGAAATTCCGTGCGCCGTTACCTAAAATAATTTGAAACATTTTGTTTTTATGTGTATTTAAATTTTTTGAGATGCGATGGTTTTTAAAATTCCAAGTGGATGCTCCAGGTTGATTTACCAAAGCAGGCGAAAGTATATAAATATTCTCAAGGTGACCTACATAGAACTCTGAATTATGGAGCTAAGGACGTATTTTTTTTATGAAACGAAAATGAAACCCATTTCCTTAAAAAAACTTCTGAATTCTGGAATCAACCAAATCATAAATCATTCATTGTTTTCATTTATTTATTTCTATAAAAATTTCGGTTATCGTCCTTGTCGACTGAATTACTGATATGCGCTAAACACTAAAAACATTTTGAAACAGTTTTATTCTTTTGCTTTTGCCTTTTAAAATTTTCTGTTTCCGAGGGTTTAAATTGATTAGTTTTAGGAGTAGGGAAATAAAAACAGTAAATTTCAATTACATCTTTTCTTATTACGGCAAAGGAACCGGAAGGCGTACGAATCAAACTGAAACCAATTTTTTTCGACCGCGGGGGAATTTTGGAATTTCGCGTTTTTTGGGGCTGGGCCTTATTGTGTTATGTATTCTATATTTTATTTATTGGTAATGTAACATCAAAATATATTGTAATTGACTACATTTTAGTGGGAACAACACGGGCACCGACAACGGCTGCGGCAAGTCCCATTTCACAGCCGACAAATTTGAGGTTGTATTTATTTAGATAATTTATTAAATAGCTATTTATTACACAAAATTTTTTATTAATACTTAGGCCGAATTCATTAGGAATCCAAGTCTCAACCGTTGTTAATTTTGTTACAAATAAAAACTAAGTTTCAAAAAGTTATGGACACTAACGGAAAGAATTTATTTTAATAGATTGAGCCGGGTTGTTGTAAAACTTAACGTATTTTATTTTTTTATAAAATAAATCATACATTATCTACAAATATTTTATTATTTTTTTTGCTCGCTAGGCACATTTTTTAAACGGTTGAGAATGTTTTTGGCAATTTTTACGATTTTTAAACATTTCATAAATAACTGAAGTCAAAAATTTTTGATGTTTTTAAATCTATGTTTTATGTCGAAAATATAAAACGAATTTAGATTTATTTCTAGGGCCGTAAAATGCCCACCCCCCGCTAACACCCCAGTACCAAGTTTCCCACATGTCTAAAAAAAGTTTCGAAAAGTTCTAGAGTTCGGCGATGGCCGGTTGCGTTACTGGGTAGTTGCCGACATAGGCTAATTTGACGTACCAAAAATAGTAAAAGCTTGCTGAAAATTGAATTCTTTATCTAAATTACACCTGGATTACCGTAATCCATTTTCAGGGCATCACCTCGCCGAATTGGCCCCAAAATTACACGACGAATCTCGACTGCAACTACTATTTGGAGGTGCCGGCAGGCCAAACGGTAGGTTTTTAAGGACACCTATAAATAAAAAATTATTTTATTGCTATTAGTAGTATTATTAATTAATTTACTAATTTTATTATTTATTCGTATAATTTTTATTGTTTGGGCCAGGGGGATCAGCTGAATTTCGATTCAAAATTTCGCGGCTGATTAAAAACGCGCCGGCTATTTGTCAGGGCAGAACTTTGAAACAAATAGTTGGCAACACTCGGATAAATAAACAAATAACTTGCGGGGTTTTTGGGAGCTTTCGTGTTATCGAGGGGGATTTATTTTTATTGTGGTTTTCTGTGACGAAACGTCCGAAGACGAACGTATATTAATGAGATGGCCAACGATTGCTACGCGCGAGTCTTTGGAAACATTTACTCGGAAAAACATTTCTATACCAAGAAAACGTTTCTATCAGGTTGGAAGGTAAGTCCTGTCGCCGAGATTTGGAAAGGCTGGCTAAAATCGTAGTTAGCTCCATTCTGCACATGCGATATGTCATTTTGTAGCTCTCTGCCTGAGCCGTTTCGGGAGGAGGGTCCTAGCCCGCCAAAATCCAGGAGGACCGAGATACGGGCCCAAGAAGTTTTTGGAAAAATTGGGCAAAAGTGTTTTTGCAAGTTATCTCTGCATAGAGTGATTTGCATACGATACCTTTAACGCCAATCGATAGCCTTTGAGGAGTAGATATCGATAGATCTTGAGATCATCAAAATCGGACACTGAACGGCCGAGATATGAACCTTTGAAACTTGGACCATTTCTTACAAGGAGTGCTTTTTTTGAGTCATCTGCAAAACCTTACGAGACCTAGTTCATTCGATAGAGAATTCGATTCTGAACAAAATCCCGTTGTTCTTTTGCAGAATGGCTATCCCTGATTTTATAAAATTAAAATACTAGTGACCGTCTCTTACCATGAGTACATTTCGAGCCATAAGAGAGGCTTTTGGGCGCAGTTTTAAAATGTTATAAAATCAGGGATAGCCATTCTGCAAAACGAACAACGGGGTTTTGTTCAGAATCGAATCTCTATCGAATAAGCCAGGTCACGTAAGGTTGCCGATGACAAAAAAAGCACTCCTTGTTAGAACTTTTCTCAAAATCCCATACATTTGGTCAAAAGCCGCTCGGCGCGTCCAAAAATAAAGCGGCAATTTTCGGCACCTGCCGGTCAAATCCAGCGAAATGTATGGGATTTTGAGAAAAGTTATAAGCAATGGTCCAAATTTCAAAAGTTCATATCTCGGCCGTTCAGTGTCCGATTTGATGATCTCAAGATCTATCGATATCTACCCTCAAGGGCTATCGATTGGCGTTAAAGGTATCGTATGCAAATCACTCTATGCAGAGATAACTTGCAAAAAACACTTTGCCCAATTTTCAAAACTCTTGGGCCCGTATCTCGGTCCTCCTGGATTTTGGCGGGCTAGGACCTCCTCCCGAAACGGCTCAGGCAGAGAGCTACAAAATGACATATCGCATGTGCAGAATGGAGCTAACTACGATTTTAGCCAGCCTTTCAAAATCTCGGCGACAGGACTTACCTTCCAACCTGATATAAAAAAACTATTTTTTCTTAATGAGTCCAATCTTGATGCAGGCTAGTAAAGGCGCTTTTTAAAAGATTCTTATTTTTGTAGTCGTGGAAAGAGCTTGCGGTATTAATGTGACAGACGACCATTTAAAAGGACAACTGATCAAAACAATTTCACCAAAAACGTTCAAAAATCTCTAAAAATTGCTGCGATAAGAAACTGTTGTAGAGTGAAATTAAGGCAAGCCTTTATGTGAATTAATATGTGCTTTTAAATATTGAAAGCACACATCGTATTATTGATCTAAAACACAATTTGTTACGGCAATTGTTTGAAACATTTTCGCGAAAAAATTTTTCCGTGCCAATAACAAAATTTTTCTAAAAAACACTATTTTAGTGAATCCAATCCAGTGCTAAGGCAGGCTAGCAATGGCGCTTTGTGGAAAAATAGTATCATTTCTAAATCGATCAAAGGTGAATAAATTATATCGACAGGGCAAATCGTTGCAACATTTTGTCGAAAAACACTCAAACGTCTCCAAAAACGCTGCGCTAAAAATTTTCTCTATACATAGTGAAACCAGGGCAAGCTAGCAGAGGCGCTTTTTTGTGGAAAAAATTCGTATTTTTTGATTATTGCAAATGCGAGATTGAACGGAATAACGAGATGGACAACGAATATTCGAAGGGCAAATTGCTGCAACATTTTCTCGGAGAATCATTTCTACGCCAGTAGAAAACGTTTCTATACATTTTGCTTACTGAACCCAATGCCCAGGGCAGGCTAGCAAAGGCGCTTTGTGGAAAAACACTATTATTTCTTCGTGAGTCAAGGGGAGAATTAACGTTATCGACAGCACCGTGCCAGGGAAACTTGGTGCAACATTTTTTTTCGAAAAGCACTAAAACGCTAAAACTATTCTAGAGTGAAACCGGGGCAAGCTAGCAGAACTCTTTATGAAAAAATATTCGCATTGTCAATTAAAGGAAAAGGGAAATGGTAACGATATTAATGAGAAGGATAGAAATTTGAGAAGCAGAGTCATTGAAACATTTTTTTATGTAAAAAACGCCCCAAAAGCGGCAAAAAGCAGTACCTTAGAGAGATCGGGGCAAGCTAGCCGCTTTGTGGAACTAGTTTAGTGATTTTACAATTAAATAACGCGCTAACGATTTGAATAATGCAGCGGCTCACCAAGGCACATCGTTCGAACACTTTTTTTTAGAAAAACGCATCAAAAATTCTGCCTTAAAATCTGTTTTACCCAGGCAGGCTAGCAGAGGTGATTTGCGGTGAATTTTTAGGAGCCAACTGACTCGTGGATTAGTAAATTTACAGCACATTTTTCAAAGAAAAATAAATGAAACAAATTTTTTGTCGATTTTAATGTAAAGGGAACAGGAAAATTATTATTTCAAAATTCAGGTCCAATCGATAAAAACATGAAACTTCAAATTTTTATGAAAATGTGTTTTAGATGCAACTGGTGTTCGACGCGTTCGAAACTGAACACTACGATTATTTGAGGGTCTACGACGGGGCCGATGATCAGGGAAATCTGCTGGCTGAGTGGGTTTGATACATTTAAATAATAATACCAGGATTAATTAAGAACTTATTGCAAGCCATTATCGGTCTTTGAATAAAATAAGGCATCGAAGCTGAGGGCAGGTTACGGCCGAAACATTGTATTTACATGCTAATTAACCATCCCCCCACTTACTCCGATTACCAAATGACCTCTGCTAACCGACGCAAAAAAAACGATTTTACGCAAAAATTAAAGAGCAACTACTTAAAAGTACCAACAAATTGATTTTGTTGCGGAAAAGACGAAATATTCGAAATAAATGTCGAAATGCTCGAATCTCTCGAACTCGGCGGGTCTCTGATCAATTTTCGTCATTAAAAAATAGCGTAAGAACCTTGGAATTCCAGGCCTTTGTGCGTCTAAACAGGGAAAATCGTGCGGCGCGGCCGCGTTGCGTTGCGTCTGGCTATTTGCCAGGAATCAACGCAGAGGGGCTGACCCAGACTTCCTAACCCCCTTTAAATAGAAACAAAACCATTTAAACGCTTTCCAAAACACTTTAACATTTAGCAGGGGAAATAAAGTGCCAAAAATTAATGCTGATTACATAAAAAAACGACGAACAATGAACAAATTACACCCAATTAGATAGCTTAAAGCTAACCAGATTTTTACTACAAAATAAAAATTGTTTGAAATATCTGCAATATTGTATGATGTTTTCCAGTTTGCACGACTCGCCGGCGACGGCCGATCTACTTCACCTCCACCGGCAGCAAGATGTACCTGGCCTTCTCGTCGGATTTCCTGTACACCGGCACCGGCTTCTCCGCCGCTTTTTACCCGAATAATCCTGACAATACGCACCCCAATTCGGTCCTCGTTAAACCGAAAATTAGCCCGAAAATCGACACAAAGGAAAAAGTTAATTAACTGTAAAATTAATTTTGTGGTTTTTGAAATTTTTGAAACATAATTTTTCAAAAATCCGCCAAATTGTCGAGAAAACCTGTTCCTTCCTCAAATAAATATGCAGTATGTTTATGTGTTTAGTATGTACCGTGTACAGACAGAAAGCGACTGCACAAATAAACGGTTATGAATTTAAATAAATTTGAAATGGCACATTAAGGTGCGAGGGATTTTTACAATATAGACCGTGGCAATTAATAGAACAGTTTGTTGAGTAAAACATCACGTATCAACCATCAGAATTGATGCCAAACTTTTTTCTACATAACAACCCCCAATTCTCAAAAGATTTTATAGCCAGGAACGACGTTTATAGAATTTTGTTCGGACCTCGTTAAAACCAGAACAATATCACGAAAATCCAAACAACTACCAATTGCCAAAAATGTTTTTTCTCCGATTTTTATAATTATTTGAAACATAATTATCTTTTAACTATTAAAATTTTGATGAATGGGGCGAAATCATAGAAAAGGAAATAAATGGAAAAGTATCAATTCCCAGCTCTCTTAAGTGTTTTGAAAAACTTTTATAAAATCTATCTAAAAGATATAAAATTTCTCTACTAGATTATTTTAGCAATTCATGGGCATAAACGTTACAAACATCACGTTAAACATTTAATTTTACCTAGACTTTTACTTTTCTACCATTTTTCTGACCTTTTTTGGAGCTTAAGATGCCTGGGATATAGTTAAAATGCACTAAAGACAGATATTCGATGGCTAAGCTTCGTAAGCTTCGACACGCCTCCCCCATTTCCTAGACAATCTCTGCCAGCCCTACCAAGTGAAAAAATGAATCGTCGCGACAACGTCCTTTTTAAAGCGTTGAAAGGTATCTTTAAAATTTAAGAATTTCTCTGCTAATTATCCCGTCGTTTATTTCAATGTAAAAACACACGTATTGCAAGTCAAAACAACGATTTTATCAGGCTTTCGAATGAAACATCTATTTTTAAATAAATTTCCTTATTTCCGGTTATCATTTTTGTTAAACCTGATGTTTTAAATGAAATCTCCAAACCGGCGGCCAGACTACAAACTACAACCCTTGTTTTGGGCCTAGCTAGGCTCAGTTTCGTAATAGAAAGGCGCAAAAGGCCCGAAAAAAACGAATTTTGAATTTTCGTACTACTTTCTTGCCCCAGGCAGCTTTAATCAGAATCGCTAAACTGGGATCCAGTCTAGAGACTAAAACCTTTCCGACAACGCTACAAACTACAAAAAACTACCAGGTCAATGACCCGGGTTCGACTCTCGGCCGCGGCTAACTTTTTCTTTTTGAAATTCGCCTAATTTTGGTGTCGATGGCTGAACTGGCAGTCAGGCTACAAAATGCAAACGTTAAAAGTCGGCCAACTTGTTCAAAAAGTTATTTTTCGCGTAAAAAATTAATTTTCAGAATTTTTGAGTTTTTAGTTTTTTTTCAGATGTTCATCTACACGCTCAGCGCGTCGGCGCCCACGTCGTCTACATGTTCAGCTACCGCTCCTCCTCGCCTGGCCGCCAATCGATTGATACCAAATACATTGCTCTCGTGTTTTCCCGTTTTTGGCCTTCCCCCTGCCTGTTGTGATTGGCGTCTTTTTAATGTTAACGGGCCCCGCGGAATAAACGATTTGATGTTCACCTACAGCTACAAGAAATCGCAGAAAAATGTGGCATATAAAGCTCTCAAAAGTCGAAAAAACAAGAAATATAGCATTTTTTCGGAAATTTTTTCTAAACAGTTTCGAAAAAATTGCGAAAAAGGGTAAAAACTCGAAAAAATGTTCAAAAGGCCGGTTTTGAACGTTTTGAGTAACTCATCCGCTGGTAATACTGAAAAAAACGTGCGCAGAACAACCTAAAATGCTTTTTCAGTTTTTAAAAACGTCCCAAGATTGAACTGCTCGGAAAAGTCGGGCGAAACCCCAGGGTTGAGTGTTTGAAACCCTCGGTTCTTTCGCATTATCGGGGGGAGGGCCCAACTTTTTGTACGAGTTTAGAAATGTCTAGAAAGTATAGAAATAGGAAGTATTTTTTTGGCAGAGTTTTCAGTAAAATAAAGCTACCATTCAACTGAAAAAACTCGCCTAAAACGTTTAAAAAGCTGCAAAAAGTCTATTTTTTAATCAAAAATTTGTCAAGTTTTTACGTTTAAGGTTAGTAAAAAACAGCTAGAAACACACAATTTATATTTCAAAAATTAAATGCAAAGAAAACCTTGCCCCCTTCCCCGATAATGCGAAAGAACCCAGAAATCATTAACGGCTCGAAAACCTGCAGAAAGACCGAGCACAGCACTGGTGAACGGCTCTGCGTCGTTGAGGAGGTCGTAGATAAACACGATCAGCACGAGGGCCCCCTGCAAACGAAAAATATGGGAAGAAAAACTACTTTTAAATCCGATCGCCCAAAATGCCGATGAAGAAGAAGATGATGACCACCATCTGCAGCCGGCCGTCCTTCTTGCCATCGTCGCCGTGCCGGTGGAAGTGCTCGGTGGCAGGGCGCCTGAAAAAAAGGACCAAAAATTTAAAAGTTAAAAGAAACGTAAACGAAATAAAAGTTAAAAACGCTTTTTTGAACGTGTCGAGCAGCTCGTCGGCTTCAAAAAAATCCAAAAACAGGCGCAGATCAACCTAAAATAAGTTTTTGAGTTTATAAAAAAGTCCAAAAGCTTGAACAGCTTCAAAAAGTTGTGCGAAACCCCCGCTTCAACGCTTTAAAAAAGGCTGAAATCGGTTCTTTCGCCCCCTAGAAAGCTTGAAAAGTTCGACCAACATCTGGCCTAAAAACGTTTTTCTAACGTGTTTGTTGTCGATTTTCGACCTATATAATCGTTAAATTTTACTAAAGAGACTCTTAAAGCACTTTCTAATATGCGAGAAGGCATTTCTGGACGATAGAAAAACGCTGCCCTCCCCCGATAATGCAAAAGAGCCCAATTACCACCTATATCTGGAAAAATCCCACAAAACCCGGCCATTTTTTTGAGGTGTATTTAGATTTTTCAAATTTTCACGGCTTCGCCAGCTCTTCTTGATCGTCTGTGTCCATTAATGCGCACGCATTCGCTATTCCGCGCCCCGGCTACGAAAAGCACCGGGCTACCGTACCCCCGCGCCGCCCGCTGGCCTGAAAACGAATTTTCGCAGATTTCTTCCGCGAAAATTCGCGTATTTGCTGTAGTTCTAATATATTCGGTGAACCAGTGAATGAATGGTAATGGTATTCACTTTCTAACGACTTTTTAGGCCCGCCGCCGCCGGTGAAGCGCATCAACGACCCGATTTCGAGGGGAGCCGCGCGTCGAGGACGGTATTTTTGGGGTTTTTGGGGTTTAAAAGCACTTTTTCGGGGCTAATTTTCTCGTAGGGCTGGTTTAAGGCTGGGAAAACCTGTCCCCTAGATTCCTACCTATATTTAGCATTTAAAACCCAAAAATTCAGCTTTAAAGGGGCGGTGTCAGCAGGCAAGTGGGCGCGGGGTCCCCCGTCAGCGTCTCTCGCGCTCTAGTTTTGCGCGGCGGGCTCGAAAACGCCTGGTCCAGCTCGTAAAACCTATATTTAGCATTTAAAATCGTTTTAAACGTTGAAAAACCTAGACTATACACTTTAAAGGCGCTCGGTCAGCAGGCGAGTGGGTCGGCGGCCCCTGTCTGCGCCTCTCCCCGGTCCCCTGCTCGCTCGCGCACTGGCTTTGCGCGCCGGCCCTCCAAAACTCATATACGCGGCTCGGAAAAACTTAGATTTAGCATTTTAGACCCTTAGATTTTTAAAACCAGAATCTCGGCTTTAAAGGGGCGCGGCGGCCCCGTCTGAATCTCTCGCGTTCTAGTTTTGCGTGCCGGCCCCTCGAAAACGCGTAGCCCAGCTCGTAAAAAACCTTGATTTATCATTAAAAATCGATTTAAACGTTTAAAACCTAGAACATACACTTTAAAGGCGTTCGGTCAGCAGGCGAGTGGGGGTCCGGTCCGCGTCCCTCCGGCGTTCGAGTTTTGCGCGCTGGTTTCCAAAACGCCTAGTCCAGCTCATAAAACCTATATTTAGCATTTAAAATCAAACGGTTAAAACCTAGAACCCATGCTTTAAAGGCGCTCGGTCACCCGGCGAGTGGGGGGGCTGGTCTGCGCCTCTCCGGCGCTCTAGTTTTGCGCGTCGGCTCGAAAACCTCCCATCCCAGCGCGTAGAAATCTAGATTTAGCATTTAAAACCACTTTAAACGTTTAAAACCTAGAACATACACTTTAAAGGCGCTCGGTCAGCAGGCAAGTCGGCGCGGCGCCGGCCCCCGTCGGCGTCTCTCGCGCTCTAATTTTACGCGCCGATCTCGAAAACCCTAGCCCAACTGCAAAAAACCCAGCTTTAGCATTTTAAACATTTTAAACGCTTAAAAAATAGCACATAAGCTTTAAAGGCGCTCGGCCAACAGCCGAGTGGGCGCGGCTGCCCCCTGTCTGCGCCTCTCTCCCGGTCCGCCCGCTCTCTCGCGTTCTAGTTTTACGCGCCGGCCCCTCGAAAACGCCTACCCCGGCTCGTAAAAACCTAGATTGAGTATTTTGAACACTTTAAATGTTTAAAACGTAGAACATAGGCTTTAAAGGGTGGTGCGAGCAGGCGAGTGGTCGTCGGGCCCGGTCCGCGTCCCTCCGGCGTTCTGGTTTTGCGCGCCGGCCCCTCGGAAACGCGTAGCCCAGCTCGTAAAAACCTAGATTTAGCATTTTAAACCCTTTAAATGTTTAAAACCTAGAACATACACTTTAAAGGCGCTCGGTCAGCAGCCGAGTGGGCGCGGCGGCTCTGTCTGCGCCTCTCGCGCTCGAAAACGTCTAGCTCGGCTCGTAAAAACCTAGGTTAAGCATTTTAAACCCTTTTAAACCTGTAAAA